TTTTTTTTACAAAAAAAAAAAAAAAATTAGAGACAACAACAATATTTTAAAAAACTGTACCTAAATGAAACATATCTACCATATAGATATGAAAAAAGCTAGCGGACAAAATCTAACTTGTAGTAATGAAATGCCAACTATATTTTAGCTCTTAGAGAATTGTAAATAAGGCCCTGTTTGAAAGGATTTACTGCTCCAGAAATACTGTCTGAAGCTTGTAATGTTGTACCTACCCTTGAGAGTATTGACACAGATGGACTTTGGACTTGTGGAGAAAGGTGACATTCTAAATGAGAGATTATGTTCATTCTTTATGAAAATGTATTTATTTGTTTGCTATATGGTTCCACGTGAGAGCCATGGGTTAACACCCACCTATAAACACACACACGCACACACATTCTGTCTTCTTTATCTCTCTTTCTTTAAACTGTATTCTCTAGGTTACTCCTTGCACAAAGCAAGTCAGATGAAACACAAATTTGATGATGTTTCTAGTGTACTTGAAACCTCCCTCCAAAACAAGCAAACAAAAACAGAGTTATGTGGACATTAATGAGGACACAATGAGGAGTTGGCACAGAGGCTCTGTCCTCATTTGACAGACTTATGTAAGAAATTATTAACAAAGTTAAGTGCAGAAGCAAGGACCAGGGACTAAGTGAATGCCTGACTAAAGAGCTTATGTTGCAAAGGTATTGGGGTTGGGAGGCACTAAACTTCTTTGAGTGCCCTAATTGTATGTTTTAAAAAGATTCAAGTCACCACCCACTGACCACCTACTGTGTGTTTTTGGTACATATCTATCCCTTGATGACAATGATCTGAAAACAATGAGCTGCCTTGGTCCCTTCTCTTGAGGAGCCCACTGGCCATTCCCGTGATCTAGGAAGCTCTGCATGTTAAGAAATTAGAGAAAGAAGTAAGAAGTAAGAGTAAGAAGTAAGTAAGTAAGCGCAAGAAGAAATTAGAGCATGTTGTATAATTAAAAGACAGGGCCCAGAATTCAAGTGTAAAGTGTTAAAATCTCAGTCTAGAGGGGTGACTGAGAGATGGAAAAGACAAATCAGATATTATAGACATTGTATGCCAAAAGTACACATACTTGGTGGCAGAATAAAGAAGACATAAAAAAAAACTGCACGTGAGCAGCTTCATTTTTTATTATTAATAAATAATTATATAATTATGTTTTATAATTTTATAATGATATAATTACATAATTTTATAATATTTGTATAATTATAATTTTATAATTGTTAATTATATAATTGCTTATATACCTTTATATAATTATATAATTAATAGTAAAGGTATAAGTTAATCATTTATTCATTCATTTATTCAATCATTTAAAACCTAATTTTAAAGACTTTCCAAGAGTCACTCATAGGATCTACCTTCACTAGTCATCCTGAATAAATAAATTTGCTTAGCATTATCACCTTTTGAATTTGTCAAATTAGTAGCATTAATTTTATAGTGAGAGAAAAACACAAAGCTGACTGAAGTCATACAGTACTTTGTGATGGCTTTTACTATACTTTTTATACCAACTAAAATAAGAAAGTAGTATTCATTTATTGAATTTTTCTCATATATCACTTAAAAAATTATTATCTAGAATGTAAATTTTCCATGCTTATTTTGAAGTTGGGGCTAGTTTTTGAAAAGACAATCTGATTCTAGTTTCTAAAGTCATTTGAAAGTAAAAGAAGAAAAAGAAAACATTTTACATTTTCTGAAAATATACTGTTATTTGATATTTTATATGTAATTCTAAGATAAATATATAAATTTTGACCTGCTCTGTGAGAAGATAATTTTATTTTCACAAAAGCTAGAGTTTGTATTATTTTAAGGTATGGCAATATTTACAATTTAATTCCTGATTTTACATATGAAAACATTTAATAATATTTACTGTGTTAGGGAAGAACTTTTGCTTCTAGCCATGAAAGAGTAACGGAGTCCAGACTGCCTTTTGCTGTAAACAACTAGAAAACTTGACATAATATATGAAATAACTGTGTTCAGACATTGGAAAACAGTGCATGACCTTGATTCCAGGGAAGTGTAGGCAAACAAACAAGATGAACCCAAAAGTCACTAAGGCTTTATGCCTGGAGGCAATTCCCTGATTGTTGTGCAATGAAAGAGAATACAGAGCTTGGAGACCTTGCTAATTTAAGAAGACAGAAATCAAGATTTAGGAAGGCTAAGGCAGCGAGAATTTGTACTGCAGTGTAAGGGAGAGGAGATCTATTCAGAAAGAGTCCCAGAGGTTAACACACAGGTTCCCTTGAATATTTGGCCAAACACCGAATTCAAAAAGTCCAGGTAGAAAACAATTACTGGGGACCTGGAATCCCTGAGCTTACACAGACCCAGGAATTGTCTCATTTTTCACAAGCCAGAGTGGAGATACCTTGTTGAATACACAAGGAATTAAGTAGAAACCCCAGGTGATTACACTTTAATATGAGGCTTAATTATTTCTAGAGCAGACAATCTTCTAGACTTATCCTAAAAGATTAAAAACAAGGCTCAAACTGAGCCACGAGTAGTTTAACTGCCATCAGAACAAAGACCAATAATTAATTCTTCAGGGAAAAACATCCAGGACTCTATGCCTTATGTACACAATGTCCAACATCTATCTGATCAAAATATTTATATCCAACCACATCAATGATTATACTAAATGTAAATGTATGAAACACTTCAATGAAAGGCAGAAGTTCTCAGACTGGAGATGAAAGCAAGATCTAATTATGTGCTGTTTACAAAAAACTCACTTTAAATGCAGTGTGTTTTGACTTTTTTTTATTATGCCAAGTGAAATTTGCTTACCAAACAAATTGAAAATGGGAGAAAGTTTAAACTACTCCAATAATAAATGATTCTTTGTAATTTTTGATTCACTGTAATTTTGGGCTAAAAATAATTTTTCTTCCAACAATTTATGTGATCTTTTAAATTCACTAGAGCAAGTCACAAGGCCAATAACAGGGTTGACTTTCTTAGCCATCATTCTGTTTTTATGTGTATAAAGTTGCTCATATGTTCATAGTTACAAAATTCATTTAAAAATCCTCAGATTTTATGAATAAATAAGGTTTTATTACGTAAGAAATTTGTGGCTAAACATTGCTCTTTCAGAGAAGAAAAATTAATTTTTATTTTTCTGAGAACAACTAATACAGATGAATATAAATAATAAAATTTAGCTGTTTCATTTTGGTAACACTAAAAAATATAATGTCATCAATTCCCTTTATGAAAGCAATTATTTTTGAAAAGCCTCCAAACCCAGCATGGAATGAACTGAAATTCACATCTGAACTCGAAGATAATCAGGCCTATTCGAATGCATGTACTTAATGTTCCTCAGCATATAGGATATTTTGAAGAATTACTCTTTTTTTTATTGTAATATGAAAATAAGTCCTTATATGAAATAGAAGACTTTCTGGAGAGACCATCTTTAAGGCGTATGCATTATCTCTGTGTTACAGGTCATACGGAAAGGAGAAGTAAGTTGCTGCTGGATTTGCACAGCCTGCAAAGAGAATGAATACGTGCAAGATGAATTCACCTGCAAAGCCTGTGACTTAGGGTGGTGGCCCAGTGCGGATTTAACAGGTAGGAGCTGCCTCACTTTAGATCTTGTCACTGACTATGGGCTTTCCCAATGTGCTCATTGTTTAAAATATGAACATGCAGTTCGTGCCTTTTTCAATGTTTATTTACAGTGTGCACTTTAAAAAATTTTTTTAATGTTTATTTTTGAGAGAGAGGGAGAGAAAGAGAGAGAGAGAGAGAGAGAGAGAGAGAGAGAAAGCATGAACTGTGTGTGGAGGGGCAGAGAGAGAGGGAGACACAGAATCTGAAACAGGCTCCAGGCTCTGAGCTGTCAGCACAGAGCCCAACGTGGGGCTCAAACCCATGAAATGCGAGATCATGAACTAAGCCAAAATCGGACGCTTAACCGACTGAGCCACCCGTGGGCCCCTAAAGTGTGCATTTTTTAATGCTCACGTCAAAGAGCACAGAGAAGCCGCTTATAACTTTTCCAAGATTTATATTGTAAGACAAGTTCATTTAAATGTTTATTTATTTATTTATTTATTTAAGTATTTATTTAAATATAAATAAAAGTGTATTAAAGGGACATTCTGGTATACCAGCTATTTTCTGTTTTTCTTTTCAATTTTTTTTTAAAAGATATTACTAGTCACCTGCATGTATATTAGCAAACATTTCTTGAACATCTATGCATGAGGCAGTATTCCTTTGCTTTAAATTTGTCTTGCTCTATTATTTTATTTTGCTTAAAACTTATCAGGGAAGAAACATGTAAAAAATAATCTAAGATTGTTTTAATGTAGTAGAGATATTAAGAAAGTACATAAAACTTGTGAGGCAGATAAGAAGATGAGAGGAATTCCAGAGAGAAAGTAGAAGATGGGAAAAATGAAGGCATATAACACGTGTGGGGAAAACCACAAGTGTGTGAGGCTGGTTGGTAGACACAAGGACCTAGCAGAGGCCAGAAGCGAGACTGGACAAGCATGCTGGAGGTTGATGGTAACAATCTTCTGCATGACCTTTTCCTAAGGGTTTGGACTGTGGCTTTAAGCACAAGAAAAACACGGAAGGATTTAAAGTAGCAAATAACAGGGGCTCCTGAGTGGCTTACTCAGTTAAGCGTCTGACTTCGGTCCAGGTCATGATTTAATGGTTAATTAGTTCAAGCCCCGCTTCAGGCTCTGTGCTTACAGCTTGTAGTCTGGAGCCTGCATCGGATTCTCTGTCTCCTTCTCTCTCCACCCCTCTCCCATTCATGCTCTGTCTCTCAAAAATAAATAAATGCTAAAAAAAATTTTTTTTTTTTTTCAACGTTTATTTATTTCTGGGACAGAGAGAGACAGAGCATGAACGGGGGAGGGGCAGAGAGAGAGGGAGACACAGAATCGGAAACAGGCTCCAGGCTCCGAGCCGTCAGCCCAGAGCCTGACGCGGGGCTCGAACTCACGGACCGCGAGATCATGACGTGGCTGAAGTCGGACGCTTAACCGACTGCGCCACCCAGGCGCCCCGCTAAAAAAAATTTTAATAAAAAAAATAATAAAGTAGCAAATAACATCATGACATCTGTGTCCCCGAAAGATGCTCCTGGTGGTAGTATAAGGAGTGTAGTGATATTGGATGAAAAACAGAAACTAGGAAGCTATTGTATTGGTCCAAGTGAGTAATTTCAAAGGCTGTAGACTAGGGCAGCTGCAGCAGGAACGGAGAGGAATATATGAATGCAAGAAAGGATTTATTAGTAAAGTCAATGGGAATCATATGGATGGATTATCAGTTTGTAAGTTGCATTAGAGAAATGTTAAAATACACAAGTTTTGTTTTCTGTGGACCCTGGTATGAACTCACACATGAGATGTGTTTCACAAATACCTTTCAGAAATTTTAGGAGTAATAGAGCCATGGAAGCTGCCATCTGAGTACACAGAGATTTTTGTCACCTGAGTAATCTCATCCCTCCTTTTAGAGGGGGAAGCTGAGGCCCAGAGAGGTGTACTTGTGTGCCCAAGGTCACGAAACTAGCTAGAAGCCGAGCTCAGTTCCCTGGGTCTTGATCCTCTGCCCCCTGGGTGTTGTTGAAAATCATTAGGGAGGGTAACATTCCTGATTGTTTTTTTAATTTTTTATCTGTTCCCAAATAAGAACAGCAACTAAGAAATTGTATGGCTTACTCAAAACACACCAAAAATGGCTGGGTAAATAGAACCAGGTCACATAATGAAAATTTTACTTGTTTAGTGAAGTACCTTGTAAAATGTTAATCTTGTTAGAAAAAGTTAAACTAAAATGAGTGTCAGAAAGCCTTTAGAAATTGTTGAGTACAAAGATCTTCTTTAAAGAAGGGAAATTAGATTAGAATATTTTTGAAGGTACAAACTGTATCTCACTCATATTTTTATTCTGTAGCTGAAAATTGTTATTCAACTTTATTATGCTTAAAAACTCCCCAGGAAATACCCACTTCCAGAGAATCCCATTCACTAGTTCTGAGATGGGACCCAGCAGATTCTAAGGTGCCTGGTTCCTGTCCCATCCCTTTAGAAACATTACTCTCTGGCTCATAGTCTAGTGTCTTGAACATCATAGCTGCCTCATAAATGTCCTATTAAGAGAAATAGAAAGAAGAAGGGGCTCACCTAAGTTCATCCTGGTCAGTGTGTTTGGTTAATAGAGAGAATCCACTATGAGAATCCAGTGTTTCTATCCCTGGGTCTAACTTATCTCATGGTTGCATGCAATGGAATGGCTTGGAAAAACTTTTCCATCCACTTTTGGCCAACAAGACTTCTCTCCCACTCGTGCTGTGCCTCTGTTCACATCTTTATCCTCCTCCATATAGTGTGTGCTTCATGCTGGGTCTTTTTATCTCAAGTCAGCCCTCTCTGCTCTTTGACGGAGACTGCAGCTGACTAGGAAGAGGCTCGGAGACAAACCTAGCCTTTCTCTGGTTCATCTTAGAAGTCAGAAGTTCTGGCTTGGAGGTATAAGAATTTTTCTTTTACCTACCTTTTCTTGGGTTTCCCCCAACTTTTCCTACTGCTCCATTTTCACTTTGGGGCTTATTTCATACATGATAAAGAACGTCTATCCTATTTTAAAACGTTAAAATACAAAGAAACTTTTTAAAAAGATCTAATACGTTATCATAATGGAACTCAAAGTCGTATGTTTTATTCCCTAGAGATCTTCCATTGTGGGTATATTTTTGGCCTACTGCCAAATGATCATCACCATTGAATTAAGGCTCTTTGAGTTAGTAGTGCATAAAAAAATATCCTCCTTGACTGTACATAGATATTTAATATGATTATCTTTCTAAAACAGTTAGTCTATCATCCATCATATGTGTAAAGGTCACTTTAGTTGAGCCGAGCAACAAATCAGGCTGCCCTTTTCTAATAGCAATAGATTTGATTATTTTGCAAATATATATGTATATATATGTGTGTGGGTGTGTGTGTATATATTAATATAATGTATATAATATATACATAAGATATATGTGTGTGGGTGTGTGTATATATATTAATATAATGCATATAATATATATACACACACCCACACACATATATATCTTTTGTTTAGGATCTTTCAGAATACACATCTTTGATGTTAATTTATACTTAGTTTTAATGACACCTGTCACTTCTGGATTCCTTTCAGCCTTACACATGAATGGAAAATGAGGTCTTATTTGGAGGCATGTCAGGCTCAGAACAAGGGTGCAGCACATGGCAGTGTCTTATTGGTTGTTGCCATGGTAGCAGTAGTTGTGAAAAGAGAAAACCCACAGGCAGAGAATACCAAAATTCGGTAGAAATACTCGGAGGAGTAAATGCATTGCCTTTAAGTAGGTGTTTTGTGTTCACAGGTGGATCTTCTTTTGACTGAATTTTAGTTAATTTAAAAGAATGAGAAATCATTCTTCTTTAGGAAATGGTGTTTTTTACTGAAGGTGGACTTTGTTTATATGCATAAAATCATTTTACAAGATAGCTACTCTCCCTATATTTTCCAAAAACTCTAATATTAATGAATAAAAACATGTTTATAAGTAAGTTTTATTTTCATTAGAATATGTTGTTTTTTTGGCTCTAAAGAAAAAAATGGTACATTTCTTAAAGGAAGCACTTTCTGTAGCACTTGCGTTCATAAGTTTTTCATATTTTCTTCTTGGAAAAATGCACATTTTAATTCAGCACTTACATTTCACACTTATTTCTTAAGATGCATAAACAGAGATCTCTTCTGACGCGATATAAAACTGGACAGTAATTTAACAATCCACGAACCAATTATACGTAATCTGATGCTACTTATTTCTGTTCACAAGTCAAATAGGATGAGAGGATTCTTCAGAAAACCAGACTACACTAAATTTTATCATTAAAAATAGAAAATATTAAGCTATAGAAATTAATTAGTTTTTACCATTTTTGTCCATCCCAACAGTTACTGTGACCTCTTACACTATCTACTCATTTACTTAATTTTATATACACCACCACCTGCTTTGTGCCAGGCATTTTTTGGAGAAACTAGAAACATATAGGTTTATGTAAGTTTATATCATGGGGAGGAATTTCATATGAAATGTGAGCATATAAGCAATCAAGTAGAAGTCTACAACAGGAGTAGGTATAAAATGTCATATGAACACAGAGTAAAAAAAGCAATTATTTTCCCCTAGCAAGACAAGAGGCTTCATAGAGAAGGGGATATTTGAGTTGAACATTAGCTATGAAATAGAATTTTTCCTTGTAGGTAATTGATATTAATGTGATACCATTAAAGAAAGCATTTTGACAAAGCTTTATTAATTATGAAGCATTATTGTAACTGTTATTAAATGTCCCAAGACATTTTAAATAGAATAAATGTGGACTTTCTTTATTTCTTCGGTTATATTATATTGGTATTAACCTAATTGGGAAGAAGTCCAGTATTAAATTATAGCTTCCTCCTATGCAGTTGGATCTTACAAGTGAACCGAAATTTGTCTAAAAATTAGGAGTAACTTCCTTTCCCTCAGATCAGTAATTCTTGGATTTTGG